CCTCCTCTCCCCCCTTCCTCTCTCCCTAACCCCCTCCCCCTCTCACTCTCTCACACTCACCCTATCTCCTCAGCCTCAGTACAAAGCACAGTGATGACCTACATAGAAGGCGCAGCCTACAACCTCAGCTCTGCCGTCCTGTCAAACCTGACGTCAGGAATGACCGAGGCAGCAACGACAACGACGACGACAACAGCGCTGCCTGACGCTGAGACCACCACCAGGGCTCTCGCTGCGACGATGAACACACCTGCGGAGGAATATTACAGGTAACACAGGAGACACTGTCTTAGACAGACACACATTGTGGAGGGGAAAAATGACAGTCTTAGACAGGTTGTGGATATTTTATTCAGTGTCATTATAATATTTTAAAAAAATATTTTAAAAATCACGAAAAACTCCCTGCAAAACAAACCAAACATGGGAGGGGGGAGGAGATGGGAAGTGGACTTTTGTACATGCGATCATCTTAGGCAGGTGGATAACTTAAACAGTGACACTATAATGTAAGAAAAACCCCCCCAACAAAACCACCACCCTCCAAAAAACCAAAAAACCAAAAAACCAAAAAACCCCCCAACGAAAAACAAAAAAATAAACACCAGAAAGGGGTTGGGGGAGGGGGGGGGGTGGAGAAATGGGAAGTGGCTGTTTGTACAGGTGATTGTCTTTTTAGTAGGCCATTTGTAAAGGTGATTGTCTTATACAGGTGGATGTTTGTACAGGTGATTGTCTTATACAAGTAGCCTTTAGGGCAGGTTGTACTACAGCTGTTCTGTTCACGATATTGTTCAGTGGTTGAGACAATGTTGAGGCTGTTGTGACAATTGCTTTGGTATTTGATGTAGGTATTGAAGCAGCTTTGTTTGAGATTTTGGGAGGGGTGGAGGTGGGGTGGGGGGGGAGCTGGGAGATGTTATAAGATGTTGTGAGTGTCAGCATGTGAAATCATGTCAAGAGCTTAGATGATGATAATAAAGGAATTTTTGTTTTAGTAAGGTTTTACGGCGCTCGCGACCCTCATAAAGTCTTATGAGTGCCAAGGGTTGGCAGAGCATCGTTATCGTGCCATTTTTTTCTCCAAAAGATTGAAAAGATTTTTTGTTTTCCTCATTCATTGGTGGCAGAAGTAAGATATCAGAGCGTACGACACTGCGATCTGTTTCTGTTTTCATCTGTGAACCGAGTCAGCACTTTCTTTTATGCTTATTTCATTGGAGCTGAAATGAAGACCAGGACATTTACAAAAACAAAACAAAAATAAAGCTAAACAATTCCCCTCCCCACCCAAAAACCCCCCCACCAAAAAAACAAAAAAAACCCCCTAGTGTATGAACCCATACCTCTTTTAGGATGAAGGGCACTGATTGTTTTTTTCTCTATGTTTCCTGCAGATACTACGTGCTGGAACAGTCAAAGAGCATTGATGAGTTCGGTTCTTTGAACTGGAGGCTGGCAGGTTGTCTGCTCCTGGCCTGGATTGTCGTCGGTGCGTGCTTGATCAAGGGAGTGCAAACTTTGGGCAAGGTGAGGACAACTTGTGTGTGTGTGTGTGTGTGTGTGTGTGTGTGTGTGTGTGTGTGTGTGTATGTGTGTGAAAGAGAGAGAGATCAAAGGAGTGCATTTTCTGGGCAGGGTGAAGACCAATAGGAAGCAACTGGCTGCATGTAGTTTGGTATTCTATCTTTGAGGGGGCGGGGGTGGAAGACATTTATCTTGCTTGTGTTCTTCTTCTTCAGTTTCTTTATTGCTAAATGTTTCGACTGAGATGTTAACTTTTGTCCCCACCCAGGGCAGTGCTGCTGACTGAAGTGTCTTGTCTTTAGGCCATTCCCAAAGGGGGGATATTAGCTTGTTCTTGTGCACAGTAAAATTGTAAATGGGCTGATTTATCAATATCATGCTCATACTGTGCCGAAATAACTTTTTCTTTCCTCATCCTTACTATCGTCATTTTCCTCTACTTCGTTTGTATGTTTGTCACTTTCTTGTAAACTACTATTTCCGGGGTGCCTTGAGAGTCGAAGCAGACTTTGTGATGTTGAGGCTAGAGGGGTGAGCATAGTAAGCCTGATTCCCCGTTTGGATTTCTCTGTTGACATCCACCCCTTGGCGCTCATATGACCTTATGCAGTTGCGAGCGCTGTAAAAGCTTACTAAACTTACTATTACCAACTTTTGCCCGTGTGTACGTTCGCCCCACAGGTGGTGTACTTCACGGCCATCTTCCCGTACGTGATGCTGACGGTGCTGTTGGTGCGCGGCGCGACCTTGGACGGTGCCATGAACGGGGTCATCTATTACCTCAAGCCTGACCTTGACAGACTGGCGGACCCAAGGGTAGGTTTTGTAATGCTCTGTGGGATAAAGTGGCAGGATTTATGGTCTCTTGGTTTTGTACAGCATGATGAATTGTTGATTTACCACTGATAGTTCCGAAGGCTCATATTGTGAAAAACCCTGAAGTACCGCACCAGTTTAGAACGCTTAAGTCATGGTAGAATTTGTTTAAATTAAAAAAATCTTTGGCAGCCCAAGAAACACTCTTTAAAAATTCATAGAGGTTCATCAACCATTCATCTATCATATAGAGTGACTTTCTTTGGTATTTACTTTTGTCCAGTGCGTCCATTCATTGCTTAATAATGTTTAGTGTACCAGTGGAAGTGAGCGCATACTATGGCCTGGCAACTAAAGTCACTGACAGTACTGTGAGTGTCCAGTTGTGCCTTTGTTACATCTGTTGTACAACTGCATCTAATATGTGGGAGAAAACTCAAGGGGCGAGCGGACAGCAGGAGATGTTCAGAGGAAGAACGCCCTTCAATCAAGTGTTTCGGCCCCAACTACCTGACACTCTAAGGGGGCCGGGCCACACTCAGGTCATCACTCCCAAGTGCTTTCCTGCTGGTTTTTTTTTTGTTCTTTGGGCTGATGGAGGATCGACCTCTCGACGTTATGGGGTATACCAGGAACTTCAGTCCGTGAATGTTTGTGCAATGTCACCGAGCCTTCACAGGAAATAGCAAATGCAAAGTTATATATAAATCTTCTCAACTTTTTGGGGAATTGCTTATCTATTTTCTGTTCTGTTTAGAATACAGTATAGCATTTGTTGCCAACTCTTTATTAAAACTATTCTCTTTTAGTTTATTGCGACCCCACAGGATGAAATGAGTAGAGTCGCCTGTTGTTACTGTTGTATTGTAAAACACTGAGAGCTTCTGTATTTTAATCTGAGTTGAGTTTTATATCATAAGTTATTATTATCATTATTATTTATTATTATCGTTATTGTTATTATTATTATTATAATTACTATTATTACTATCATTATTATTATTACTATTATTATTATTATTATTATTATTATTATTATTAATATTATTATTATTATTATTATAATTATTATTATTATTATCATCATCATCATTACTTTCAGGTGTGGAGTGACGCAGCTACTCAGATCTTCTACTCCCTGAGTGCGTGTTCGGGCGGCCTGATCGCCATGAGCAGCTTCAACAAGTTCACCAACAACTGCCACCGTGACGCCATCATCGTTGCTATCCTCAACTGTTCCACGTCTGTCTTCGCCGGCTTCGTCATCTTCTCCATCTTGGGTTTTATGGCTTACGAGAAGGGAGTGGACGTTTCAGAAGTGGCCAAAGAAGGTAAGTTTATTGAAGTAATTCATGCATACTTTACTCCATAAAGGGAAGGGACTCTACAGGGAGGAGCTAAAAAACTGGAGGCATATTACACTTACGAATGCAGATTATAGAATATTTGCCAAACTATTTGCATATTGATTCATTCATGTATACAACAATTTGTAATACACACCAGTAATCTGACAAAAGAATGTGTGCACAAAAAGACAGTCACTGTGGCTGCTGATCACACTTGATGGTGGGAGATGAGTGCAGAAAAGAGCACCAGTAATATATGCCAAAATGATTTGTTTTATTAATAGCTTTGAGGAAGATGCTGTGATTGTTTTTTTTTGGTTTTCATAAACTAAAAATTATTTTAAAATTTATTTGTTTGTTTGTGTTTTTTGTTGTGTTTGTTTTGTTTTGTCGTTGAGAGAAGATTCCTTTGTTCCCCAGGTCCTGGTCTAGCCTTTGAGGTTTACCCCGAAGCCTTGTCTCGGATGGTCGTCTCCCCTTTGTGGTCCGTGTTTTTCTTCATCATGATGGCTACCCTAGGGTTTGGCTCCCAGGTAATAACAAGATTTATGAAAATGATGAAATGGTATAGGTTTATTCCCCTATCAACACTATTAGGCTATTTAAGTGGCGGGACCTCCGAGTTTAACGTCCATCTCCGAAAGGACTGAGCCAAATTGGGAATTCATGTAAAGTGTCTTTCCCAGGGACACAACGTTGGACTGAGCTGAGGCTCGAAACCTCGAACCCGCAATCTGAAGATAACGAGTCCGGTGCCTAACCACAACTCTATCGACGCCACTAAGATAGTTGAAATAGAGGATAGATAAATAACATTTGTATAGCGCACATCCCTTCTCAACAGCAAAATCTACACACTTTACAACCTAAAATGTAAAGGACAACTTTTGGTACAGGTAAACTTACGTGTTACCTAGTAACACCTCTAATCTTTGATACTTATATGACCAATTTGTGTTGCAAGTGCAAGTGCTGTCAAACTCTTATTAAAACTAAAACTGGAAAAACTTTAACCTTCCATCGTTCTGTTGTCCAAAAACCTAAACCCTCCAAAAACTTAAACCTTCAATCGTTCTGTCATTCAAAAAGCTTAACCTGTCACTGTCCTGTCATTCAAAAACCTTAACCTTCCATCGCTCTGTCATTCAAAAACCTTAACCTTTCTTCGCTCTGTCATCTTAAAAACTTTTACCTTCCATCGTTCTGGTGTAACTTTTACCTTCCATCGTTCTGTCATTCAAAAACCTTAACCTTCCATCATTCCCCCCCTCCAGTTCTCCATCGTGGAGTGTGTTCTGAGCGCGCTGTTGGATGAGTTTCCCCAACTGATGAAGACTTTTCGCCGCTCGCTCTCGTTCCGAGTGTCCATGATGGTGCTGGGATTTTTGCTGGGTCTGCCCATGGTGTGTGGCGGTGGCATCTACCTCCTGGAGCTGGTCGACTACAGCGTGGGTGGCTTCCCTTTGTTGATTGTCGGCCTGGTGGAGTGTGTTGCAATTAATTGGATCTATGGTGAGTATAGAATGTTAATAAGGATTTTTTTTTTTATAGTCAGAACACAAGGTACTGTTTTTACTTTTGTAAAGCTCTAATTCTGTAAAGACGAACCTGTTCCACAAAGGCTGTCTTTCCCCGGTAATCAGTTATTCCAATTTTACTAATACTTGTTTGTAAAAAAAAACACACAAAAAAAGTAAAAAAACAAAAAACATACTCCCCTTTTAAAATAAAGAAAAGGTGAATATAATTTTATCTTCCGTATCAAGGGACACAATCATGAAAAATAGCGTATATTTGAAGCTGTCAAGAGTTGTTTTCCTTATAAAACTTGCCATTCTGCAAGTTCCCAACTTCACCACTTTGTCACTATATATTGTAAGAGAATTTATAACTATGTTCAGAAATACTGGTTTTGAAATAAATAATAATAACAGTGATAAAAATAATAATAATAATAGACTGACTATGACCAATGCATCCGCATAGGAGAATATAGATCTATCTCTAAAAGAGAAATGAAAGAAACGATTAAGATGACTTGTGGCTTCTGCAGAGACCAATTCTGACTGAGAAAAGTTTGCTACATTTTGAACATTTCCTCTCATGAATGTGCTCAAACTCTCAGGATAACATTTCACACTTTCAACTCTTTTATTCTCGATAAAAGAAAAAATATAAATCTACTTCCTCTGTGTCTACTGCCCAGGCAAAGCTGTATCATGCATACTGCTTTAACTCTTTATCTCCGAGGGGGTGTAAACCCACTACGCCGGGGGCCTTTTTTAGTGCTAAATCTGAAAATGACAAAAACATAATTAAATGGGTCATTAAATCGAAACAAGTAAACCTATTTTAAAAGTTCTTCATCTGATGAATGAAGTTCCGATAAAAGAGACCTGTTTTTGGCAATTGCTGAAAAATAATTTGATGTCGAAGCCATCGTAAAGGAATGTGTCCAAGCAGCGGCTCACTGGCATTGCGGTTCCGACCATGAGCCACTGGCAGCGGCTTGCCAGAGATAAAGAGTTAAGATCGTCTGTTGAGACAGAAAAAAAAGGCCAAAGAAGACAATAATTAAACTGTTTGGTGCAGATTTCTTTACAGGAAGGTGATCAATTCTTTTTCATGGTATATTTAGAATTTTCTAGAAACATTTTTTATGTACCATTTCTTTTGTACAATCCCAGGTTTCAATAACTTTTGGGGAGACATACAAATGATGATCGGTGACCGACCGAAACAGTACTGGAAAATCTGCTGGACTATTCTCACTCCTTTTGTTATTGTGGTAAGTACTATCGATCGACTGAGATTTTCCTTGACCGGTATATCCATCCATCATATATTGGGCCATCCTGCTGAGTTCTTCTGTGGCCCCGTACAGCTTCTCCTGTAGTGTCAGTGGGGTGGTCATATTTCCTGATTCAGGACCCTGAGTGTCTTGTGGTGCTGAAGGATGTGTAATGTGAGTGTGTGTGTGTGTGTGTATGTGTGTTTGTGTGTGTGTGTGTGTGTGTGTGTGTATGTTTGTGTATGTGTGTATGTGTT